GAGGCTCTGGGCAAGCATCCAAGCTGCCTAGATTCAGATTCTGTCTCGGCCACTTACCCACCGATGAACACCTTGGGCAAGCATCCTGCCTATCAAGTGGAAGAATTGTGTTTATCTCCTGGGATTTTTGTGTGTGTGTATGAGAACTAGACAAGGTAGTACGCGTACAGCCCTCACCATAGTGCCCGCAAAAACCGCTTCCGTGTGGATATGTGCTGGTACTGCTGCTGCAGCCTCTGCTCTTCTTACTGGGGAAGATGGAGCCAGGATGGAAGTCGAGAGGCCCTGTGTCTGGTCCTCTCTCATCACAACTTCTCTCTTTTCAATCTGGCATTTTTTTCTCCTTGCTATGACCCTGGACTTGAAAGCTCTCTTTGGCTGCCGTTGGCTCTCTCTGTGCAGCGTGTGCTCCTCTTCAGACACAGGGCTTTCCTCCCTTCTCCTGTATGGCTTCCTGTTAAAATCTAAGTGTGGCAGAGAGCCACTGTGCCCTCCAGTGTCTTTTCTTTCTTCTGAGGACAATTTATTTTCTAAAAATCCAGGTGCTTTCTTAGAGTCTCCTATTTCTCTTGAGGTGTATTTCCTTTAAAAACAGTGCACAGCATGATCACAGTGTTTGAGTTGTGGTGCTGAAGCCAGAGACCTGGGTTCAAATCAAAGCTTTGCCTCTTTCTGGCAGTGTGACCCTGGGAGAAGTGTTTTTTGTTTTGTTTTTGTTCTTTTTGTTTTTCAGTTCTCTTGTCCTTATACTTCTTGGTATGTCCAGAAAGATTAAATGAGGTACTGCTTAAAGAGCTAAGCATCAAACACAGCTTGCAATAATGTTGGCTAGTAATTGCTATTACTATTGTCTGGTTATAGACACATGTTTACCTTCTTCTCTAAAATTGTTGAAATTTGTCTTCTTTAAAAAATTTTTTTATTTTAAAGATGTGGGGTACAGTTCAGGGTTAGGTATGCAAATGTTCATTATGCAGGTATCCTTGTTGATGAGTTGTGCCCCTCCTCCTCTGGCAGTTTCCCGCTACTGCCATTCCCAACCCTTCCCACCCCAGTAGTTTCCCACTACTGACAATCCCTATCTTATAGTATTATAATAATTGTTCAAGGTCTGCTTATAAGTGAGAACATGTGGTACTCAGTTCCTTGTTTCTGTGAGAGATCACTCAGTATTAGAGACTATAAGTCCATCCAAGTTGCTGTGAAGTCTAAATGTTTGTCCTTCTTTATGGCTGCATAACATTCCATCATGTATATGTTCCACATTTTTTTTATCCAGTCCTCTTTTGATGGGCAGCATGACTGGTTCCATGTTTTTGCTATTGTGAATAATGCTGCAATAAACATGCATGTGCAGGTATCTTTTTCATAGAGTGATTTGAGTTCCTCTGGGTATATTCCCAGTAGAGGGATTAAGGGGTCATATGGAAGGCTGATTTTTAGATCTTTTAGGAATCGCCAAACTGTTTTCCAAAGAGGCTGTACTAGTTTACACTCCCACCAACAATGTAGAAGTGTTTCCTTTCCCCACCCCCCACCACATCCTTTCCAGCATCTGTTGTGCTTTGAGTTATTGATGATGGCCATCCTGACTGGAGTTTGGTGGTATCTCAGTGTGGAATTTGTCTTCTTAAATGAAAGACTGAATTATATATCTAATCTTCCTCTTCTGTTTCCTTTTCCAAGATAGAAAACAAGATGATGGTCTTACATTATACTTCTATTACTCTCACCACTACTACGGCTACTACTACTAATAATACTCTGTATTCCTTGAGTGCCATATGCCTCTACTATTTGAAGAATTTTCCATGCTGTGTCTCTTCTAAGCTTCATGACCAACTCTAAGAATGTACCCCTGTTAGCTGCATTTTTTTTAAATTCCAAGGTGTTTGATGTTTCCATTGTATTTATATTATATGTATAAACCTAGTGTCTCCAAGTTCTCAATCACCAAATAAAAGCTGCTTGAATTCCCTGCTTGGGTGACTGCAGGAACCCACTCTAAGCCCTGCCTCCTCCTCATTTTTGAGACACACAGGTAGGGGAACCATTCTGGCAACCTTAGAGTGGCACCCCTGGGTGACGACATCCCTCTCCTCTCACAAACTGCATTTCCCTTCACCCTAGGCCTGTGTACAGCTCAGAGCTGGTAACTTTTTGCCTTTACACTTTTTTAAAAAATCAAAGTCAACACCATATAATAAATTCACAAGTAAAGTAATTTACTTATTTTCAAAAGGTCAACCTCCAAGTTATCAAATAAATGCAAATTAAAACAAGTACCATTTGTCACCTCTCATGTTGGCAGAGATGAAAGTAATAGTACTTTTCATATTGGCAAACGTGTGGTCAAAAATGGGCAACTCCACTGGTGAGATATTTATATTTAAATAAATATGTATATGTAATGCATAAAGATTATAATTTACTCATAAACCAGTAATTCAGCTCCTAGAAAAATATACTAAGGAAATCATTGAAGTTGCACAAATAATTTATGTATAAAAACATTAATCACTGTATTACTTTTTAATCTTGAAAAATGGGAATCCTCCTGAATGTCCAACAATAGAAGCTTGGTTAATTCCATCTCTGCCACTTATTCCTGCCAAATAAAAAATATTTTCATACCATGGTAACTAAAAGCTATATATAACGTTGAGTGGAAATAATTAAGATACAAAAGTATATATTAGATTGATCATGAATACCGTTTCAAATTGATATAAAACCAAGACACCTTATAAATGCCTCTGGTTAATTTTGGATGGTGAGATTACAGGTAATTTTTATTTCTCTCTTTATAGTTTTCCCTACTTTCCAAATTTTTCTACAAAGACTATGACTTTTATCATGCAAAGGATAAATGTATGTGTATATTCAAATTTTTATGTTTCTATCTATATATTTTTTTATAGATTGCATCTATGCATGCATTTAAGTTCCAGTGCTGCTTGCTTTCCATCTGAGCTGTGCCACAGCTATCCAGATAAGCCCAGCAGCTGCCAGGTAAGGGGAGTCCCCCAGCTCCGGTACAGTTGCCATGGTGCACCCACCCTGTCACATGGACCTGGCTCTTCACTCTGTTGGCCACCCACTGCAGCTTCCTATCCAGAGACTTATCAATTTAGAAAGTCGGAGCAGGAGAAAAATTCAATGATGGATGACATGTTCTTGACCTCTTTTTTTTTAATCTTGTTTTTTTAGAGAGGGGGATCTTACTATGTCACCCAGGCTGGAGAGCCGTGACGATTCATAGGCACTATCATAGTGCATGATAGCTTCAAACTCTTGGGGCTCAAGGGACCCTCCTGCCTCTTAAGTAGCTAGGACTACAGGTGCATGCCACCATGTCTGGCTACCTCTCTTGCACCATGATCCCTTTGGCTGTCTGGTGAAACCTATGGGGTCCCATCTCCAAATAATAATTTTACATGCTTAAAACAAAACACAGAATTTCAAAGGATACCATACAATCCTTGAGCAGTAATATTCTAGGTCATGTCCCTCATATTTCACATAAACTGAGGCTGGCATGGGAAGGAAACTCTTCTACTGACCCCAAGGGATCTATATCCTGGCCTGCTGACCTCTCTTTTTTACTTGGTGACCTCCTTCCTCCCTCTGAATGTCTTGTGCAATTCTACTGCAGTTTTCCATTCTCAACCTCCCTTTCTACCAGTCCAGAAAATGACCCTGATCTTTACAGCAACTTTTCAAGGTCAACATCACTGTCTCCACATTAAGATGAGGAGACCAAGGCCCAGAGGGTCAGCACAGGTGGGCAGTATAACTCTGCCTCTAAGACCCAGCAGGCTCACATGACCTGGTTTGACTCAATCAGAGCTCAATTGAGAAAGGGATGCTCTCCTCTCTCTAGAGCTCCAAGAAAACTGTAGGGCTGCTTGGGGAAATGGCAGAGGTCTCCCAGAGGAAAAAGCCTGCCTAAAGGTGAAGCCAATCCAGAGGAAAATGAATATGGGGAAGTAAGACACTGAGAATATAGGATATTGTGGGGACTTTTGATCCATTTGTGCCTGAAACAGGTTCCTGATTTTGCAATAATATGAGCCAACACACTACACTTTTCCTTTCCTTTCCTTTTATTTACTTTCTTTCTTTTTTTTTTTTTTTTTTTTTTTGAGTTGAAGTCTCACTCTGTTGGCCACCCACTGCAGCCTCAACCTGCTGGGCTCAGATGATCCTTCCACCTTGGTCTCTTGAGTAGTTGAGAAGACAGGCACGTACCACCACACCAGCTAAATTTTTGATTTATTATAGAGACAAGGTCTTGCCAACTTGCCCAGGCTAGTCTCAAACTCCTGGGCTCAGGCATCCTCTCACCTTGGCTTCCCAAAGTGCTGGGATTACAGGCCACCCATGACACCCAGCTTCACTTCTTTTTTTTAAAAAAAGAAATCACCTGAAACCAAATGTCCAAACTAAGTCAGGTATCAATCATCCACATTGTACAGATGAAGAAGCTGAGGCAGGTCAGGAGAACTAAGTGATCAGCAAGTCATGATTTGAGTCAAATCAAAGTCATGATTTGAATCCTACTTTTTCTGACCTAAAAGTCTTAACCACGACCACATATAAGTCCAGGTAAAGGCCAAATGCATTCCTCCTTCGAGGAGTCAGATCCTTCAGCCACGAGATCTGCTCACTGATCTTAAATGTCCTCCAGCTGGAGTCAAACTAAAAAATTCAGAGGCTCATAGTCATATGACCACCTACCACAGTCACCCCTCTAGGGGCATGTCCCTGTACACACACATCTCTCAGGCTGCCCATGTGTGGGTTGGTTTCTTCTTACCCTTGTGGTCAATGTCCTTTCTATCTCCTCTTACCTGACAAATGGCACAGTCTGCCCCAGGGACCCCACAGGAATGTTTGGGGAGGAGGAGTGCAGGTAGGAACAGCCCTTAAACCCCCTCATCCCCGCCTCCTGTCCCAGCCAGACCCCCACCCTACCTTTGCCACAGCCACTTGCTCACCTGTAAATCAGTACCTCATCATCAGAGCAGTTGTATTGCAGCTGGTACATCTTCACCCGGGGTGCTGACTTGCTGACTGACCACTTGACCAGGGCCGAGGTGGTGGTCACTTCAGACACGAGCACAGCCCGTTCTGGGGGGCTCTTGGGGGGCTCCCCACCCCCACTGCCTCCACCTCCCCGGCTGGTCTTGCTGGAGCCCGTGATGTCTGAGAGGCGAGACTTGGGGGGTGCAGTGCGGCTGGTGCTGTTGCTGAGGTGTGGCAGCTGGATGATCGAGACCTCCACCGTGGCTGTAGCCTCTCCGGCTGCATTGGCAGCGATGCAGGTGAAGGCACCACTGTCCTGAGATGTGGTGATGAGGATGTCCAGGGTGCCATTGTCATAGACCGCAGTCCTCGAGGAGTTCCCCATCAGGTGGTCATCAGGGGCTACCCAGTGGATAAGGGGGCTGGGGTCCCCGATGGCTTTACACTTGAGCGTGGCCGCCTGGCCCTCCAGGACCAGCAGCTTGTGCGTGTGCTGGGTGATGAGGGGCGGCTCACACACAAACTCCTCCTCGCGCACGTGCCAGAAGTAGCGACCCTTGAGGCCCCCTGGGGAGCCACAGGTCTCCAGGTCATCATCCCGCTCGAGCCTCCGCAGCCAGAGAAGCTCACAGTTGCAGTGCAGAGGGTTCCCCCCGAAACTGAAGGACAGGGGCGGGGCAAAGGGTGTGGCTGTCAGAGCAGAAGCCTGGGAGCGGGCAAAGATGGGGTCCGGGGGCAGCTTCTGCAGCTGGTTGGAGGTGAGGTCCAAGCGGGCCAGTTTCTGCAGATCAGCAAAGGTACCTTCGGCAATGTAGTCCAGCAGGTTGTGGTCCAGGCTCAGCTGGTGGAGGTTGACCATGCGCCGCACGGAGTCCCAGGGCAGGCCATGGAGGTTGTTGTAGGAGAGGTCCAGGTCCTCCAGCGTCAGCAGGAAGTCCTCAAAGGCATCATCCGCGATGCCGCCCAGCTGGTTGTTGTTCACGATGAGGTGCTGCAGGTTGACCAGGCCCCGGAGAGTGTCCTCCCCGAGGCTCGGCAACCGATTGCTGTCGAGGTGCAGGGAGCGGAGGCTCTCGAGGTCCAAGAAGGAGAAGGGTTGGATGTGGCTGATAGTGTTTCTGGACAGGGTCAGGTCCACCAGTCCCGTCATGTTGGCGAAGTCCTGGCGGCTGATGTGGATGATGAAATTGCCACCCAGGCGCAGCTCCACGGTCCGCCGGTCGATGTCAGGTGGCACAAAGAGCAGCCCCTTGGAGGGGCACAGGGTGCCCAGTGACTCAGACAGATTCTGGCAGACACAGTACTTGGGACAGGCGTCAACCACGGCAAATGCCATGCCAAACGCCAGCAGGCCACCAAGCAGGGTCTCCATGGTCTGGTCACTCAGGCCACGGTGCCTAGAAGGGAGGATTACAAGGTCAAGATCAGGAGGAGACTTCCTAATGCCCTCACCCAGAGCTTCCTCCCTTGTGCTCACCCACTGCTTTCCTTAGGGAGTGGCAGAGGATGGCATGGCCTCCCACAAAGTCTAATCTCTACCACTGATCCCTCTAGGCCAGTTCTACTTGTTCTTTTTTCCTTAGTTTGTATCACCTTCTAGCATACTATTTACTTTTCTCATTTACTGATTTTTGTCTCCCCCACCAGAATATCAGCTTTATGAGAGCTGGTGCTTTGCCTGTGTTATTAATTGCTACATCCCAAGCATCTAGCTCATCTAGCTACTGGAACTTGGTTTTACTATCCATTATATGTCCAAGGCCTGAAGCACAGCCCAGCACACAGTGAGTGCTTTTGCATGAATGACTCTCTAAGGAAGGAAGGAATAGAAATCTGGCTCAGATCTCTATGCCTCCAGACCTTACAGTTTGCTCACTATTCCATGCTGTACTAAACGTGGCCTTATTTATCATGCTAAAAACAGCCCACTGAGTTGGACTTGTGGAATATCATGTACACTGATTGTGTAGCATGACCAACATTTCTAAATTGCCTTTTAGGAGTACTAATCAGAGTTCTGCAGTAGTTTATTGGCTTCTAAGCCCAATATGTCACAGAAGCGTTGCCCACTCTTGCCTACTCCCAAAAAAGCTCTAGATGCATTAGCAAGTTTAGGAGAGTTGAGAAATTCTGCTGCAGTAAAGACACTTGATTAATGTTTAATTTTGCATGACTCCCATTTTTACTTGCTCTAAAGACAACCCTTTTCAAACAACAGTTATTCATATCTTGAGCAAGTAGAGCCTCCATAACTCCCCATTTTGGGAACATAGATATCAGCATCAAAATAACTAGCTGATAAAAAAGATATGTAGTATTTTTTAAAACTTATTCCAACTATATACTTCATTATACAGATTTGAATTCCATTATTATGTCTCTTTGAGGGTAAATCTCCCCCCGAGATCCTTCAAGGGATGGAGACATATTCTCTATTTTATTTAGAAAGACCAGCACTGTTTGGTAGAAATATGTGAGCTATAAATGTAATTTTAAATTTTCTAGTGGCCATATTTTTTTAAAAGTAAAAAGAAACAGGTAAAATTTATTTTGGTAACAGATTTTATTTAACTCACTATATCCAAAATATTATTTCAATATATCATCAATACAGTTATTACTATGTCTAAACTTTTTTTATTTGTACACAGTCTTTTAAATCTCATGTGTATTTTACCCTCAGAGCATATTTCAAATGCAGATTAGCCATGTGTGGCCATTGACTACCATATTGGACAGTGCTGAGAACTGTCCACATATAGCCTGTTGTCTATTTTTGTAAATAAAGTTTTATTAGAACACAGCCATGCTAAATTGTTTATGTATCATCATGGCCTCTTTCATGCTACAATGGCAAAGTTGAATAGTTGCAGCAGATAACATGTGGTCAGCCGATAACATGTTGCAGCAGATAACATGTGGCCAGCCGTTAAGTAGTTGCAGCAGATAACAAGAACAGATAATATTTGTTATCTTGCTCTTGATAGAAAAAGTTTGTTGGCCTTTATTCTAGCAGATATATTTTTGCATCTTCTTCATCATGGGCACCTATACTAAAAGCCTTTGCCAAAGTGCACAATACTCCACATTTCTGCTCTGGGCTTCCTAAGAGCAACTGCTTCACCCTGCCAGTCCCCACTCTTACCAAGCTCCTACCCGAGGTGAACCAGCCCACCAGGTCCCACCAGGTCATAGGTATCGATATATAAAATCATCCTTCCTGTCACTTTGCTCTGTGCTCAGATACGTTCTGGCTTGCTAGGTCCCTACTTGCTGGGGCCGAATAGAGCCAATGGGAATCTTCTCCATCTGCACTAAGTCCTCTTGGACTTTTCACCTATAACATCCATGATGCATTGTGGTTACAAAGTGAAGAAGGTGATATTTTTTCTGGCCACTGTGTCTGCTCAAGTAGAGATGAGTGGTACCCCTTGTACCCACGGTTGCACAAAACAGCCACATCCAAGGATGTCTCTCACTAATTAAGCAGGCAGTGTGTGTGTGTGTGTGTGTGTGTGTGTGTGTGTGTGTGTGTGTGTGTGTATTAGAAAGGTAGTGTTCTATGGCTTCATAAGAAAGGCCATCTTTCTTATGAGCTCTTGTCAGGAACAGCTGCAGTATTCTGAGGCTAAGCAGCTCTACCCGCCATTTTCAAGTCATGGCACACAGGGAATGATATTTGTCAGGTGCACCTGGGCCCAGGGCCAAGGCTATTCATGCCTGTGCTGGATATCTTCCACCGTCCCTCCAGATACTCTTTCTACCTTCACCCAGCCTGCTCTGGGAAGGCTAATCCAGACACATATGGACTACATGCTATCCTAAATACATAAGTTGCCTTTCTGCGGGCAGAAAGAGGTGATCCGCTGAGTACTGTAGGGCTCCCTTCATTGAGCAACTTTGTATAGTGAGCAACCTGCCTCACCATACCTTGTAGCCCTGAGTATGAGGGGGACCCCCCAAAACCCCACAATTATATTTTGAGGGTGGGCCCCTTCTGGTTCAGGCTTCTCCCACTAGGTGAGTGTTGTAGGAACCCATTGGCATTAGTGGACCAGCTAGTGTTGTTGTGAGAGGCTGAATCTGGTTTCAGTGAAATTTTTTTTGGAGACTATTTTAACGTGTTTGCCCATTTCATGATGGTTGATTTACAAGTGCACCTGCCCACACTGCTCTGAGTATTGAGCAGATTTTGATGAAAAATGGCATGACCTATAGATCAATGGAATAGAATTGAGATTCCAGAAGCAAAACCTCAATTTCTCAACCAACTCATCTTCGACAAAGCCTCCACCACCTACCACTGGGGAGAGGAG